GGTGTAAAATGGTGAACATTTTTATTTTCACTTGAAAATTAAAAGTTTTTATTTTGGGTTTTAACTCTGTTACTTTTGTTTCTAAACTTATTTATTTGCTTTTAACTTGTGAAAACAAAAGTATGTAGTAAAATTAGCCTAATAAATTTTATTTTCATATAATACATTTTAAAGAAAAGTTTTTTCTTGTATAAATTGTTTGGGAAAACTCTAAAATTTAACATTCTTTTTTGGGTAAAAATTAATTAATATCAAAATTTAAAACCCAATAGGCCTCTCATTGTTTACATGACACCTCTTTAGATTGGGCTAGATCTAACTATCTTAAAAATGATCATTCAATATAGCCACACAATTAATGTATACACTGCCTATACCATAAATGCTTTGAAAATAAAACTATTATTATATAAAATATTTTTAAAATTATTTTTTAATAGAATTGATAATATAAGTATCATATATTTCAATATTTTTAAAGTATATATACCATATTAATATAATTCAATTAATTTATACAATCAATTAGAAAAAGTGACATCCAGTAGGTTAAAATCATAATCACTTCTTTTATTCTTATATTAGCTAATTCAATAATAATGTCATATTTGTTAAGAGTCATTTGTTTATGATGTAATTTGGATTTGTAAATTATGTAATCAAAGGGGGATGGCAACTGCATTAGATGCCTTATGAGGACAATCATTTGGAGCAAAGCAGTATCACATGCTTGGTATTCACACACAGAGCAATGCTTGTTCTTTCAATCGTTAGCTTATTCCTTGCAGTCATCTGAGCTAACATAAAACTTATTCTAAATTTTCATGCACCAAGATCCTACCATATCGAAAAAAATTGGAAAGTTTGCATATTTCATAATCCCCAGCATTTTTGCAATTGGTCTACTGCAATGTCTTGTTGTTTTCTTTCAGACTCAAAACAATATAATCCCTATGGTGCTTACCTCTAGAATTGTTACTTTGCTTCATGCTTTCATTTGTTAGATCCTAGTGTTTAAATCAAGGCTTAAAAGAAACGAAGCTGCCTTGACAAATTCAATATCCTACTGGATAAATCTCATGGTTTTGGCACTTTATGTCGATTTCTCTTATTCCTATGCAAAAACTTGAAGTGGCTTTTCAAAAAAGGTTATGTCAACATCTTTAGTTTCATAAAAGTCTCTATCCCTTCAGCTTTTATGACAAGGTACATAATTTCCAATCATTCAAAGGAAGAAAAAATTTGGATTCTGAATTGTCGAAAAATTAACACGCACATGTAGCACCAACGTACAAAATAGCAAACTCAAATAAAAAATAAGAATATATAAATATACATATTACGGTCCAACTCAAAATAGTATAGTTTAAACCCAATTCCCTAATAAATAAATCTTTATAACTGTTAGACTTTTAGAATGAAAAAAGTTATCAAAAACTTCTTACTCAAAACTTAATCCAAAATTCAATTACACCATTATAATAGCCTACTCACTTAGCTATTTTTTTTATGTCTACCTATGTGAGATTACCAAACTAAAACCAAAATATCTTATTTATAATGGTGAAACTCTTTATATCTTTACTAAACTCCCGATATAAGATACAAAATAAACTCAAACTATTATAACTTCACTTAACTTTCGATGTGGGATTATAAGATTCAAGGTAAATCCCAACAAATTCTCTTTTGACTTGAATCTCCAAACACCTCAATAGTATCTGTAAAACTAACACGCTTGCCTTTCTTCTTTTCTTTCATCATAAGAATCCTAGCAACTGAGCTTTTATCAAGCATGTGCAAGTAATTTTTGATCCTATTCTCTTGTAGAATCACACTATTATTCTTGTACACTTTCAACGAATCATTACTCTATACTATGTGTACCCCCGAGAAACTAGCTCACCCAAAGCAATCAAATTGTAGCTATAACTCGATACATACCTTACATGATGAAGCATCCTAACAACACAATTGTGAGATTTAAGACGAACACTCACAATGCCTTAAATCTACACATTTTCATTATTAGCAACCATAATATCTCCATACTTCACATTCTCTTTCAACTCCACAAAATAACTTCTATCATTGCAGACATAAACTGTAGTAGTTGAATCTAAAATCCAACCTTTATGACCTTTTAAAGTCTGAGTCTCATTCATACAAGTCTTTAAAACGATATCATCATCATCAAATATAATGGTAGCAATATCACTCTTTCCTTCATCCGATTTTTCCTCATCATTCACCTTTTAAAAGCAACCATATCCATTTTCAGCTTCTTACAGCGTACTTGGATATATCTTTTTTCACCATAATAATAATATTCTATATCACTATAATCTTTGTCTCTTGACTTGGATCTCTCTCTTGATCTATCAATCTATTTTGGAGTCTTTCCTCAATCAAAACCCTCTACAGCTAGTGTACTTTCCCTAGGTGATGAGTTTTGTATTCTCATAAACCTTTTGTTCTTATGCAAAAGGGTAGTCATATCAACCAACTTCAAAATACACCTATCCACCAACAAAGTCTAAACTAAAGGCCTATAAAACTTGGGCAAAAATGACAACAAAATTAAAGTCTTCTCTTAATCTTCTAACTCATCAATAAAAATCATCAGCAATTGAGAAACCAATCTATTAAACTCATTTAGGTGATTATAAAGACCCATATCTTTTTTTCATCTTCAGAGAATATAGATATATCTTCAAACATAATCCGTTAGCCAATGATTTTGATACATAAATACCCTCAAGCTTAACCCACAAGCTCTTTAGATTACTCTTAGTTAACACACTATATTTTACTTATGGGACTAATGCTAATCTAATAGTACTAACAGCTTTCTTCTAAATTTTATTCTAATTACTGTCAAACATTCATTTAGGCTTACTACTCTCTAATGCCTAATCCAACCCTTGTTGTACTAATAAATCTTGAATCGTACTATGTCATAATATAAAATTACTCTTTTCATCAAATAATGAAATCTTAAACTTGAGCATAGATATACTAGACATACCTTATTTAGACATCTTGAAACACTTACTTCACAATCTATTAGGCCTGCCTCTTCTTCCCATGAACCTCGTTTTGTTACCTCTTGTTACGGATCACCATATGTTTGATACCACTTGTTGGGATGGGCCTATTTCTTCTTCCCATGAACCTCGTTCTGATACCACTTGTTGGGATGGGCCTATTTCTTCTTCCCATGAACCTCGTTCTGATACCACTTGTTAGGGATCACCAAAGCTCTGATACCACTTGTTGAAAAATCAACACGCACACACAACATCCACGCACCAAATAACAAGATCAAATCAAGAATAAGAATATATAAATATATTTATTTTGGCCTAACTCAAAATGACCTACTTTAAACCCAATCCACTAATAAATAATTTTTTATAACTGACACTTTTAGAATAAAAAAAGCTACCAAAAACTCCTTACTCAAAAGTTAACCCAAAACAAAATTACACATTTTTAATAACTTACTCACTTAGCTATTCTTTTGGTGTCTAATTATCTGGGATTACCAAACTAAAATCAAAATATCTTATTTATAAGAGTGAAACCCTTTATACCTTTACTAAATACATGATGTGGGATATAAGACAAACTTAAACTCTTATAACTTCACTTAACTTTCGATACGAGATTATGAGATTCAAAGTAAATCTCAACATGAATAACCAGCCACAGCCAATATTTTGGGGTTTTAATCATTAGTTCCAATGCATTTGAGCAGCTTAAAAGCTTGGACATTTGAGCTAATGGTTTCTTTATCCGGTCTTCTTCTTGATCCAGAGTTGGAGACTTCGGTGCTATCTAATTGGTTACTATTTAGTAGCTAGTAAAAAGTATTAAACACACACACATCAAAGCTGCCATGGAAGAACTGATAAGGATCAATTTGGATACGAGATCTTAGGTGAGCTCTTTGACTCATACAGAATGAAACTTGAATAATCCTCTGTACTTGAGTTTGGTAAAGCAATTAACTTTTTGTTTGTGCTTGGACGCAGAGGCAGGCAGAACAATGACCCTGTTCCTATGTAGAAATTCATTCATTGTGTTTTAATTAGTAATTACTAGTAGTATTTTGACAATTTTGATATTGTGGGTAAAATTGGATAAACTAGTCTGCTGTGAGTTTGAAATTTGAAGGTAAATATCAAGCTTTCTATAGTTGTGGTTTTTGTTATTTACATTTTCAGGAAAAAATTTGTATAAAGTAAAAATAATATCATAATTAACGTGTCATCACCCACACAATATTCCATCTATCAAGTCTGCCAAATTCCTCAAGAACAGCCATAGTGAGGAATGAAAAGACAACTTAATTAATCTAGTTGATTCTTTTCGGAGCATGTAATTCCTTGTGTTGAGGCAGCTACAACTCCTTAATCCATCAAGCAATGGACGATTGAACATTGGAGCCTACAAGTTGAAATTAAAAAAAGCAATTCAAATACAAGAGTATCACACAAAAATCACAATCATAAACAAAAATGATCGATTGCTATCAATGTAGTTACCTAAAACTAAACTCTAAGAACCTAAAACAAATGGCCTTAACTAGAATTTAAAATCAGAGAGTAAATGTTGTACTAATGTTTATGAAAAAGTGCTACATACCTTTCCGTTCATAAAATTGCAGACGTTTTACAAGTTTCTAGGGACGAAATGGTAAAATGGATATTAACAATTGGCATGTGCTTAACTTTCCACTGATCGGTAGAGCTAAACTGGGACATAAGGGCTCAGTTTCCACCCCTGTACTCAAAAAAAAAAAAAAAACTTTCCGATTATCGGAGTCCGAGCCTTCATTTGGCAGCATCTTCCCGAAAAGTTCTTTGGAATGTCAATGAATAACAGAGTTTTGAGACATTCCGGAAAAGTTCTTTGGTTTGTATTCTTACAAATAGTTAGATTGGCCTAAATCTAAGCCGCAAGCAGCTCATCCTCCCTAAAACTCCATTTAAGTGATGGACTTATTGTTGGCTGTGATTGAAGCTATTATTATTGTGCCACTGGTTCGTCTGCTTCAAACAGATGAATTTGATATCAAGAAAGACGCTGCATGTGCCATCTCAAATGTTACATCTGGCGCGACCATGATCAGATCAATTATGAAAATTGTTTCATTTTTGAGGGTCGAAGGGGTGAGCTTACAGTTCATGGATGCTGGGAAGCCTGGCAAAAAGCAGAAAAAATGGGGACGTCTACTTCCCAAAAGCAAGACCCACAACAAGCAGTCATCTGGCAAAATGGGCTCCCATGTAGCACCATCATCCTCTTTTCTCTCTCCCTTAAGCTGCTGTATATATCTCAGTTCATCTTCCTCTCAATTATCATCTCTGATCCCTTCCTAGTTCCTACTCCCTCTCAAGCATCTCAATTCTTTTAATCCACACATTTCTTCTCTCAATTCTGCCAGATTCTTCACAGTAAGAACCCGCGCTACCCTTGATGAGAATGAGAAAGATCCATTCCTTGCTCAAGAGCAGCTGCCAAACAAAGTACGGTTTTCCTTTAATTTAACTCTTTGGCCGATAGAATGCATTCATTTTCATAATCTGTTATCTTTTCCATTGTAGTTATATAATAAGAAGTTGATGAAGGCGTCAAAAATGCAACAAAAACGCGAAAAGTCCCAGCTGAGGAAGTTCTGTCAGCTTTTTGGGTTATTGAAAAGGCCAGAATCAACCCCTCAGAGTTTGTTGAAACTCTTGGTGGATCGGATTCCCCTGGCAGAACCTGGATGCTCATTTTTACTGCTCAGGTTTCGTTTGATTCCCATCTTTGTTTAGATGTTTTCTTAATTTTCTGCTTAATTATCATCTCAATGCTATTAAGTTTCTTTGAATTGGGTTGAAGCTAGAAACAATTGAAGGGCGGCCGCTACTTCCCTCTAACAACTCTTCAGAGGTTCGATGCTGCTGTAAGCTCCTTAATCTCTTCTCATTTTTTAATGTGATTAAAAGTTTTGGCGACTTTTTACATCTGCTTTCACGTGCATAATGCTTCCAGGAATGCATTAGCACAAAATGATTGAAAGTGCTGTTTTGGATGTCTTGTTAAATTCTTCCTTAAAAAGTTTAGTTTACTATAATAGAGTTTTTAATGTAGAATTATGGCCGGTTCATCGAATTAGTTGACTTGACTTGGTAGATGTAGGATATTTTTTGAGATATCCACATGTAAAAGACTGTCGACATATTTGCTAATTTTATAGACGGAAAGGGTATTCAAGGAAAAATTTTGGGCTGTAAAAATTTTTCGTTCCAAATTTTTTTGTTTTCCAATTTTTGGATGTCCAAAAACATCTTACTTTTTCACATGTATCTGCCACTGCCTTGAATTGAACATGTCTAAAGTTTCTTTGAACCAAGTGCTTGTCTTGGAATAATTTTAAGGTCGGGGGAAATTTTGCAGGCTATAAAGAGGCATTTAATCTAAGCATGTAAATTTTGTCAAACTTTATTGTTTAAGATGGTCATTAGTGCTCATAGTTGATGCAATTTGAATTGATACATCAGATATGATAGCTTTGTATGGTGAAAAATCTCTTTGAGGATAAATTTGGCTTTTATTTAACTGTTGCAAAACCAGTGGAAAAACTTTTCTACTGCCTATTTCATGCCAATAAAAGGAGAAAATAAGACTAGCTATTTCTTTGCTTTATTTTTTTGTCAATTTTAGAAACTCATGGATCATGACTTGAACTAGGGAACAAGAATTGAAAATGAAGAATTTTTATTAGAAATTTTTAAATAAATATAAAAATAATATCACATTGGAAAAGAGCAAATAAGATATCCATTTAAATTAAAAGGAGCAGTAAGTTCATTGTAGTTGGATTTAAGTAAATAATGGACTATGAACTTGGATTTTAGGTTTGATAGATTTTGCATTAATTAAATAATTAATATTAATATTTAAGGCACTTGGCAATAAATAAAATATTATTTTATTTATTTTTTTAATTTTTTAATTAATTAAGTGTTTGATTAGTTAAGTCTATTTAAAGTAGATAAATAATTTTAATTGTTCAAGATAAACAGATAGTTTACAAAATAGACAAATAAGTATGTTCAAAATAGGCAATTTTTAATTGTTAAAAATGGATAATTTTTATCTATTCAAAATAAATAGTATATCTGTAAAATAAATAAATACTTAATGGGTTATATAAGCTTTTTTGGTTTTATGAGAAAATACAAGAACAGTTTTCAGAGCTCCTCCTCTTTTTTCAATAAACTTCAGATTTCCTTTTATAAAGTTTTGTTACAGAAAGCTTTATAAAAGTTTAGCGATCTTGCAATACATCGGTGAATACTTAATTGATTGATTTTGTCAGTGTAAAATGCAATCAGTCATTAGATTTCATTGTATACTCAAGATTTATCACTTGTAACTTTTTTGTACATCTACTAAGTAAATAATTTGGTAAGAGTGAATAACACCTTAAAAAAAATGACACCATTATACGTTTTAGAGCATTTTCTTAAAATTCCAGATTTATCATAAGCAGTAATTCCAGATATACAATTTTTGTTCTAACATTTCTTGGACCAATTGGGTTCTTAACTTATGAAGGAAGCTTTTCATGGAAGAACAGAATATTGTCCTTCATTTTTGAATTAATTCGAGTTAAAATTGGACCTTTTAACCCTTTAGAGATCAGTGTTGGCCAGAAGGAAGATAGAGAACCAAACATCAAGGATCCTTTCTTTATCTGGTTTTATGTTGATAAGGAAATAGCAGTTGCCCGAGGCAGAATTGAAGGAATAGCATTTTGGTACCGGTGTCACCATGTCACTACTTGATATTTCTTTGAAATCTCTAAAATATACACCAAATGTATTCCCAGCATGAATGAAAAATATTCCATTATGTTCATGAACTGTACATTACAAGCCTAGATTTGTTCCAAATGTAATCAATCTACAAAGTCATCGTCTCAGCTTAGTTGATCTTCAAAATGGCATTCTAATAGCAACCAAGCGCCATCCTCTGTCATACTCTAGAGAAGGTTGGAGATTGTTGTTGGAAATATTGACTCAAATCCCATAAGAGATTTGTTTGAGATTTGTTAGAGATTTATTTGAGATTTGTCAGATATTGCTTGATGGACAAGAAGACTTGCAAAAGAAGAATTCTAAGAGAAAGGAGATTCTTAATAGGTAAGTTTGACTTGCAAAAGAAGAATTCTAAAAGGAAAGAGATTCTTAATAGGCAAGTTTAACTTACAAAAGAAGAATTCTAAGAAAAAAGGGATTCTTAATGGGCAAGTTTGTATAGTTATAAATATGTGAAGTCTCTACAAGATTAGATATGAGAAAAAGATGTAAGAGAGTTGTAGAATTTTGTGGGATAGATACCCCATAGGAGTATTGGGGCTCTACGTGTTATGGGTGTATGTTTGTTTGTTTGTGAGTGGACTAGAGAAGACTGAAAGGATCCACATAGGTATGATGTATGAGAACATATGGGTATGTGTTTGGTTATGTTGAAATGGTGCACAAGGGTTTGGATTTATGTTTGTTTGGGTTGAGAATACTCTATAGGACTAGAGGAGATTTAGAGTGTCTTATGAGTATTGATTATTGAGTGAGGTTGATGATTTGATGTAAGTTTGTAATTCTCTACAACTAGTGGATCTTGTTTCTCATCCATGGATGTAGGTCAGTTAGACCAAACCACGTTAAATTATTGTCTCTTATGTGTTTGATTTATTATTTGATTTCGCTTCCATTGGTGTGATTGGATTGGAGGCTTTTAGCCCAACAATTATAGTTGAAACTTTCTCTGCATTTCTTCTAGGTTTTATCAGCTTTTTGGGTCGACAATGCTATTATCTTCAATTATTTCTTTTTAAGCTGGGTAGTTCAATGCCTTAGGCAAAATTTCAGACCCAATGTGCAAAATGGGTAGTATGCTGCTACCAAAAAGCATTCGGTAAAGTTCTTGTTAATTTCATTCTAAAGTTTATTTTATACTTTGAATCTTTATATATACAAAAGGAATGCAAGTAATTGATGCTAGCAGTGAAAGCCCTCAACCAGCTTATCTCTAGGTGGAAGGCATTCTTTGATCACTAGATTTTCGATAAAATCCTCCCATTAATGAAGCAGTGGGAAGCTCTGGGAGTCAACCGACTTCTTTGATACCATAAAGTCAATGAGGGGTCCAACCAAGGGTTAGATCCAGCTGCTTCTCAAGAAATGCAATGGAGTCTAGTGCAATTCCTATCGTTTTTTCTTTTTCATCTCCTAGAGCACGGCCAGTGTCAAATGCACCAGACAAACATTGCATTTAAGAAATCGAAACAAAGAAAAAACTTCAACCACCTTAAAACTAGAATGAAATTAAATGGCAGAGTGTTAGAGATTGAATGAAAATGGTTTGGATGAAGTACTTTTCATCTGTAAATTTTGGCCCAAAACTAAACCTTAACTTTGTCATATGGATCTTAAGGGAACAAGGGTTTGTCCTTCCATATTTCCTCAATGAAATCAAGAATTTTTGAAATGAGTCAGTTAGATGAATGTGTGAAATGTGTGTATTAAATAAGTATATATATATAATGTTTTTTTTTTTTTGTATATTAATTTTTCAATTATTTAATACGATTTATATATTTTTTAAAGTTATTTTCATAATCAAATATTGCATTCATATAATCAATTATATTAAATAACTAAATAATCAACTAATAAATTATAACTTAACTAAACAACCAAACCCACACATAGTAAGATCTAAATTAAAAACCTTAAAGTTTTAAGGCTTCCTCCTTACCATTAAGCCAATGCCTCATTGACTAATATAATTTATACGTTATCTTTGTGATTTGTGGACACAATTTAAAAAAGTTTATATTTGATAAACTATCAGAATCTAGATGTTATATAATATCACTGAATCATACAATGGTGCCTCATTACTAAAAATTTAATTTTAAAATTTTAAAATCCTACAAACAAATATATTTAATTTTAAAAATATATTTAAAATTATTTTCTTTAATTATGTGTTATTGTGCAGTTCATCGAAAATGTATAACATTATACATTGATGCTATATACTGATAATTTATCAAATATAAACTAATTTAAAATGTCAGTGAAATAATAAAAGAAATTTATTTGATACATTATTAGTGAAGTCTTTTTAATTTTACAAATGAGATTATATATGCATATGTAAAATTTATATTTTTTTATTAAAAATACTATTTATGTGTATAATTATATCTATAAATATTAATCCATGCATTAAAATGGTTCATAAATTAATTAAAATATAATAATAGAATTAATATGGTGACAAATTTCGTATTTAAATTTTAAACCTTACTTCTTTAATTTTTAAAATTCAGTTACAATAAAGATTTAATATAATAATGGCTACCTCCAATTAAAGCTGCCGGTAAATCAAAATAATGCAACAAAAATAACCATATTGCTACTTTTTTTTAGGATGAATCCATATAGTTAATTATAAAACCATGAGAATATAACTTAATAAAAAAATAAAATGATAAAATAAAAGAATCAAGTGAAAAAACAAATGTAACAAACAAATTATTATTTTTATAATAATAATAATACTTTATTATTTATTATTGTTATTATTATTTTGCTAACGTTTGATCCCCTCGGTTGTATATTGGAGTCCACATCATAGACATTGAAACATAATTTGTCTCCGACGATGTCGGTTCTTCCATAAAGACTCATACTTTCGTCATCGGGAAGTCAACAAAAAAAAAATAAATAAATAATGCTTATTACTATAATTTAGGTTGTAAGATTTATTAATTAGTTTAAAATTGTTTTAATTATTAAGTTGACCTTTCATTAATCCTGGCCAAAAAGTTAATTTTTAATTAAGTTATATTTACATATTAAATAATTTAAATATATTAAATGAAATATCCTTAATTTAATTATATGTTAAATTTGAAATGAATATATAAAATTATGTTAATTTAGTAAAACAAATTATCTTAATGACCATCAATTTGAAAAAAAAAATTGATTGAAAAGAAATTGATTAAAAAAAATGAAACAAATGATGGAATACTTTTTAACTTTACCTTAAAAAAATGTGACACTTGACGCTGACAATTAGAAAATAATTTGCCTATGAAACAGAGGGTAAATGTGATAGGCCAAAAGTTAAAGACAAACGAGATTTGATCAATTCAAATAGAAATGAAAACAAAGATATCAACAAAAATAGAAAGGATCGTACCATCATGAACCGAACAACTTCAATCTGCTGAACCATTGCCCAGCCTGCACATTCAACCATCATCAGAGTGCACTGGCATAAATGAACTTTTTTCCGATCTTCAACCATGCAAAGAACTGTTTGATGATGATATAACAATTTCCTCCTCCATTATTATGGAGAAAATATATATAACTATATATATATATATAAATATATAGACTAGCATATAACAGGAGCCGGCTCTTCGCTTGAAGAACTGATGCGTCTTCTTAGATGCAGCCTATAAGTAGTCCATATATTTGGCAAAAGGACCGTGTATATATATATATATATAAAACACTGAAATGGGTCAAGGATTTCACTTTCGTTCAATAATTTATGGCTGCGGACAAATTGCCATGACTTTCAAACATATTAATTCAAAAGTTGTTTGGAGCCCAAGCAAGCAAATTCGCCGTACAAGAACAAAACAAACAAACAAACAATCGGTTTCTTTTGACGCAAATATGACAGATGTCGAAAATTCATTAATCCTTGGAGCACAAGGACCTTTTAGGGACTTTCTGCCTTTCTCATTTTTACACGTGCAATTTTGACACAACTAAAATACAAAGAGTTAGTAGTGCAATAATTTTTTATGGCATGCCCTTTTGTCTAGATTTTTAAAAAAAATCGAAAATGGAAAAAGAATTTGAATTCAAAATTTTGCGTAAGAGATATTTGCATCAACCATAGTGTTCGGTTGCATATTCCATTATCCATTCAATAAATTTGTTGACTTTTAAGGATTATGAAAAGATTTAAATAACATTTTTTAAGTTAAATTTATGAAGTTTTTTATTAAAAATTATTAAATTAAAATCAAAATTGATATATTAAAAGGTTTTGTTGCATAAATCAAGTATATAAATTTTTAAAAAATTTTAATAAATTTTGATATATTTTTTAGATAAATATTTTTAGTAAAAATTTGATAAAATTTTTACCGTTGAATAAATATTTATCAAATTTAAATTATAAATAATATTTTTTACATGTTATTGATTTCACATTTATCTCTATTAATTTATCATTTAGATTTTTTTATTAAAATTTTTATTAAGTCATTTTAAAGAATAAACATTGTAAATTTCATTTAAAAAATTTCATGTAAGCTTTGTTTTTAGGATTCTAAAAGTATCTTTATCATCCCAGTTAACTTTTATTTTCCTTCTCAATTGCTTTTTTTTTATTATTTTTAAATTTCATGTAAGTTAGCCTTACGTGAAGAAGAACCCACCATTCCAACCAGCCACTACCATACTCACGCCTCAACACAAGCCACCACCCAAAAATTTAAACAAGTCAACCTAGACTCCCAGCTGAACAGAAACCTGAAAGCTAGAATATAAGCCATGGAGAATTAGCTGAACGGAAAAGGTTGTTGTCTTTGAAAATGAGCTCAAATTTTTGGAAATCTCACCCTTCATCGAAAGGATTGACAGAACTATGTTCCAAAAAAGATTCAAAATGCCAACCTTGAAGATTTACAATGGTACTACTGACCATTTTGGTCATTTAGAGCTTTATTGAACTAACATGATGA